GGTTTTCTAATCCAACCCTCTGCTTAGGCAGGAAACCCTATACCACTTCAGAAGAAATGGTTGTCCCACCACTTCTTAAAAACTTCCAGTGTTGGAGCATTCACAATTTCTGGAGGCAAGTTGTTCCACTGGTTAATTGTTCTCACTGTCGGGAAATTTCTCCTTAGTGCTAGGTTGCTTCTCTCCTTGGTTAGTTTCCATCTATTGCTTCTGGTCAATGGCAAACTACTTCTGAAAATCTTTGCAAAGAAAACTGCAGGGTCCAGTCACCAAGGATCAGACATGACTGAATTGGGGATGGGGAGAGATGCCTATGAGTCTTGACATAATAACATCAAAGGTGTAGGTGAAGGAGAGAAAGAGGCTGGGGGTGGAGGCAAGAGAGGAATCAGCCTAGAATCATTACATTCCCACAAGCAGTCTGTGTCCAGCCTCTCTTGAATTCGGTTAATTCTTATTTAGCGTCAATTCAGCACTGTTAGTTGACTAGATTCTCGTGTATAGGCAAGAACAATAAATTAGCTCAGCTGGAACCTAACATTTGGTCCTGATTCTTTGCACCTGACAAGAGACAGGCAAACCCATAGTAGGGCCCTTGCTGTAATATAAAACCGATTAATGTTTGCCTTCCTTTGCCATCCAAAGAAACCCTCCAAGGAGTTAAAAACCCTTACCAAAAGTCTGTGTTCCAAGGCCATTATTTGAAAATTGAAAGCAATAAATCTACGAGTGGCCAATTGTCAACAGAGGCTGTTCTGAAAGCTTGGAGAACAGCAAACAATAGCTGCCCCAAATTATACTTTTTAATGTTCTGTAATTGAATCAGCCAATGCATTCATTATGTAACTCAGACAAATTGGAACAAATAACCTAGACAAAGGGGAGCACACAAAGGGCACACGCAGCCTCTCTTTGTGTGTGCGTGCGTGTTGTTTTGCTTTTACAGGTAGTCCTCGACTTCAGAATCATAACCGAGCCCAACATTTCTGTTGTTAAGTGAGTTTTGTTCCATTTTGTGACCTTTCTTGTCAAGCAAATCACTACAGATGATAAGTTATTAACCTGGTTGTTAAGTGAATCTGGCAATCTCCCCATTGACTTTGCTTGTCAGAAGTCCACAAAAGGGGATCATGTGACTTTGGGACACAGTGACGGTCATAAATATGAACAAGTTGCTAAGCATTCAAATGTTGATCCCACGACTATGGGCACACTGTAACGGTTATATAAGTGCAAAAAATGATCATGTCACTTTTTTCAGTGCCATTGTAACTTTCAATGGTCACCAACTAAACCACCACTAAACCAACTGTTGGAAGTAGAGGACTACCTGTATAATGTCTTTTTCACCACCCTTCTTTGTAGCAAGGGGCTTTTCTATTTCCCAGAAAACCACGAAGACAAGTGAAGTCATCAAATGTCAACACACACACATTCACAGACTTTGTTAAAAGATGTCCGTATTCCAAACGAACAGAGATTTCGAGACCACTTAAATATTCCACAACAAAGCTTTGCAAATTTGCCTTCGCTGAAATCTCTAAGTATTCTTTGGATGGTCAGATATTTGGCAGATCATCTGCCTGCTGACATTCAGATCCAGCATTTCACTAACATGATCTTCAAGGGATAGACAGCATGTGTGAAGTTCTTAGAGGGAGTAATTGGCACACAAAAATGATCCGGTAAGTGACTTAAGAATCCTCAACATGGCGCAAAAACCCATTTTCACTCCAAGGTAAATCCCAGTGAATCCAATGTGATTTTTCTCCTGGGTAAATTATATAAGACTTCAGCTTTAGTTCACCTTATGATTATACATTCATTTAAATAGCCTGGAAAGCTTTCTTTCCAATTACACTTCAAAAGCATGAAGGGCAGGTTTGAGAAAGCTGATTCTGAACAGCAAAATTAGAAAATGCATCCGCCAAGATTAATTTAAGATTGTTTTCTTTCTGACTCTGACATACTGATATAATGGTAGGTGGGGGTATTTCCACAGGACTATTGTTTGCATTCAAAGCTGTCCTGAGTGGACTTCTGCAAAAATCAAAATATTGACATCCAGTCATGGTTTAAGTCTTGATGACCAAGAGAAGAATGTAAAAGAAGTCACCCAATCAACCTTGCTTCCTTGGCTATTATTCATTCTGGAACAACATTTTAGAGAATTGTTCATTAGAAACAAGACAATACATAATTTCCAAGTTAAACCTACTACTGGTTGACCTTTTCTGTATTCCTGGACATGGAATTATCCAAAGATTTCAGATAATGAAGGTTTTAAAAATCACTCAGAAGTAAACCAAGATTGAAACAGTTTCACCAAATAAAAGGAGAAGCAGCTGTCAGGACTGCTAAGAGGAGTCCATAGTTTAATCACTTATCACCAAAGACAGGCAGCTCAAGCTGATTCCAGCAAATGTCAAAGATACAATCTGCAATTAATGTCATCAGCAGACAAATGTTTTATTAATATTCCAGAATTCCAAAGAAATTAAAGTAATTGATTTGGACATAGCATTAACCTCTTTATGACCCACCCCAAAAAGTAATCGTGAGTTACAAATAATCATTCTGAAGGGCTGAGTTATGAACACCTTTGTTAAATAAATGGCTGATTTAATTTAGAATCCTGTTTAAAATAATGACCATGAGATGGTTCTATATTACTCACAAATAGATGTATCTTCTAGCTCATCCTAAAAATTGTTGGTCTTCACCAACCAGTAGACTGCCCAATTCATTAAATTAAATTTCAGTTCAGTAATGCATGTATGGCCAACAAAGAATGTTCTTCACACATTCCTACTTGGCATGAAATTATAAGTTATCTGTCTAGGATCATGAATACCTAGAACGAGGTTAGATATCTCCACAACTGTTTACTGTTCCCTAAAATGAGGAAATGAGGATGCTCAAATGATAATGTCCATTCCATTAAGTACTTTCCATTACTGGCTGAAGCCATGGTTGATTGAATTGAGCATGATACAGGAGTGTTTTTGGTTTGCAAGAGCTTGTCCTTGAAAAAGCCTGAAAACAAGAAATTTTGAGGGGGAAGATCCAGTGAATTAAGTATAAATAGCAGACCAGCTAATCACAAGAGTAACTGTCTCAATATTTGTGATGGTAGGTGGAAAAGACTTTTAAGAGATGGGATGATGAGGTGTTCCTTAGAGAATAGTCAGGTAAGGGAAAGCCTCACCTATAATGGTGGGGGCAAGGGTCTCAAAAGGGACCCTCCCCAGTTTCTTGAGCTATAAAAGGACAGTGGGAGAATTGTACTTTCAGACATGCAAGATTCTACTAATGTAGCTTTGCAATAAAGTAGAATTAGATTATCTGGCCATGCATTCTGCCTAAAGTTCACAATATTACTATTCTTTTCATTTTGGTTGACATGTGGCTGGGTTGGATTTGGCTTTAATGCCAGGAGAATGAGAGAGATGGGTGGTCTAGAAACATGATAGATAGATAGATAGATAGATAGATAGATAGATAGATAGATAGAT